ATCCATAAAAATTACTTGGTCTGGCCTTACAATTTAGGGAATGACCCGCCTGACGCATGTCCACCTTTTTCCTCCCCCGCCCCAGTATTTATAGGACAGCCCCTCCATTGTAAGCAATTGATATCAGATGCGGCCGGGGACAGCTGTCCCCATGTGAATCAATGCAGACGTTGGTGGGGGTAGTTCATTATATATCTAACACAAAAGGTCCACTGCAGCGAAATAGGGACCCCCAACGAGGCCCGTTTTCGAACTTAACCTTGGCCTCTACAATGATAGGTTGCCTACCAAAAATCATGAACATCTGTTCAAATATACTCGAGTTACTTTGCTAACTAGCCACAAACACAAAAAAGTCCACTGCAGTGACGTACGGACCCCCCACGAAGCCCATACTTGCACTTGGCATTGGCCTCCACACCGGTAATTTGCCTGCCAAAAATCATGGACGTCGAATAATGCCTTCAAGAGTTATTCTGCTAAATCCGCAGTCACCCAAAATGCGGCGAGACAATTTCATAGTCCTTCTGACGAAGACAAAAATTAAACATTAAAGTGAGAACAAACTATAATAAAAACATTATAATAGGGAATTTACCATTACTTGGGTAATCATGCATGGGTATTAGTCAAATGTAGAGACAGGATCGTTTTCAGTATCCAGTATAGTTGACCTGCGCGTATGCAGTGGCGTAAATGACACTCAAAATTTTTACGTGACTTAAATATACAGAACAATAAACCACACTATCTTGTGTTAACACATGAAGTCAAATCTAGGAAGTTTCCCTCTTTTTCAAAAATCATGGTAATGGCAACTTCCTATTTACATTAAGAGATGTATTTTACGTAAATTATTGATGCAAAATTAAAAGTACTACAAGTAAAAATTCACTATTACAAAATACTTCAACAAAACATGACAAATACTGACTATTTATGACTTAAATCGACTTTAAACCTGTTTCTTAATGTTTGAAATATTAAATAAATTTCCCAGTCTCCCTGAAACCTATTATATAATAATGACACTTTTATATTGAACTCAGACATCCATAGCCATAACACAAGACAGAGAAATTATACACTGCCTATTACTGCAAAATCTAATCAACGGCAATTCTCATTCATGTACAGGGACCTATAGTCAGAAAAAAAACACGTACGGCGGGTTGTGATCGAGGCTTTTAGGAGTCTAGAAGAGAGTGCTATTCTCCAATAGATCGTGCTTCAATGAATTTGTTGTTGAAACTACATCTATCCACTACAAAATGAACTACTAGATCTATCCACTACACAATGAACTTCATCATATATTGTTCTCAGTAAGGCCACACTGACTAAATTTAATGGATGACATCCTCTGAAGACCCCCGAAGTAGTGCGCGCGGGCGAATAAAATAATTTATCAAAAATGCTGCTAAACCACAGAAATACAAAGCTGGTGTTGTGGATTTTCGGTTGTACATAGCGACGTTTGGACTTCTAGAACCCAGGCAGCCTGTCACCCAAGAAATTAACAGCCTCGGAGGAGTTTTGTTTTTTGTTCAGGCGAAAATCGATGCAGCCTTGTCATCCATAAAATTAAATCATCAACATCATCTAGTCGTGAGAGTTTCACGGATGCTTGTGACTCTTTATTGAAATTAAATCAGTATGGAATAATTTACTACATCGAACGTACAACACAGAAACGCTAAAACAGAACCTCCTTCCAGGATTCAAATACGCATCTGCTGTGTGAGAGTTAAGAAAGCACCAGGTGGCATGGAAAGATGGTTACAGTTGATTTGTAAGATACCGCCCTAGTCACCACCAAGTCTCCATTTGGTCCTATAGCAACACCCCACGGATTTTCAACGTGCGCGATGGTACGGAGAAACTCTCCGCGGCTTGTGAACATGTCTATACGGTTTCCACCATTATTTGCCACGATAATCCTACCCAAGGTGTCCAGACAAACACCTCTGTAATGAGGCAGTCTGTTTGCACCTATTCCAATTTCGAATATCTTGTCTCCGGAGTGACTATACATAAGACCGATTCTGTACGCACTGACAAGTGAAAGCAGGATATTTCCCTCGCTGTCCGATATAATTCCCCCGATCCTGTAATTTGTCACTTTAAATCTACGATAGAGAGAGTCGTTCGGATTAAACATCATTACAGCCTGCCCATGTCCAACGATGATTTTATTGTTGCGCGTGTCTATCGCAATGACGGAACAGTATTGACCCGCGAGGCGATGAATATTACTTTAGCAATAGCCCAATAGCAAAACATACACCGAGTCCCAAAAAAATCCGTCCACCCAAACGCGAGAAACAGCTGCGAACATGAAAATTTAAATCTCTCACAAAACCCTTCCGCGGAAGGATGTCTCCTCCCCCGGAGGTAATGATTACAGAATTCGCACGTTCTAGGGGTTTCAGAGGGGTACGGCTATGCCTGCCGGATTCTATACGTAATGGATGGTCACTAATGCGAAGTTTACACATGGCTCTGCGATGTTTGAAGTTTGCAATGTTGTGACATACAAAACATTCAAAGAGATTTATGAAAGAGAAACATATTTTTAAATATGTTTCTCTTTCATAAATCTCTTTGAATGTTTTGTATGTCCTTAGTTTGTTGCCTTGGTTTTCTCTTCTTCCTTTTACTTGCAGTTCTGAATTGAATTTTTGTATAAAGTTATGTTTCAGTCTTTGTTTTAGTTCATTTAGATGAGACGGCGAGTTTAAGTGACCATTAATGTACAGGTAGGCAAAGCCGGATTCCTCTAACAGTTTTCGTACATTAGATAACCAGCAGGGTGTTTTTCTACGATCTAGCTCTTGTTGTACCATATAGGCTTCATGTTGAAGACTACTTGTATGTACTTCGTTGGCCAATCTGAAATAGTAACTGTACATTAATACTAATACTAGTAATACTAGTACACAAAAAGGCATAATTTTTCACAATTTACAATTTTTGGGTCATAAAACTCACCATGTGGTAGTCCATTCCGTGATATGTATTAGAAATCTTGAGAAATTCTAGTGGACACATGGCCACAGGTGACCGTAGTGCACTTTGACCCCTTGTTCCAGGTCGATACCAAGCGAACAACAAGAGGGGTGTGGTACCACGGATACATGTTACATCCAATATAAACGGGACCAAATATAGAGAAAATTCCTTTTTTGTAAGAAAAATTTCTCAAAGCCCTACACTATACCACCTACCATCAAATAAGTATAATGACATACCCACCAAAAAAATGGTTTTTAAAGTTCATTTTCTAGTACGTCGATGAAGGTTAGACATCCAGGTGACGTTAATACAATACGCCAAAAAAAGCAGTTACTCAAGCAACTGGATATGATTTCGGATATCATTTTCTAGTAGTATATTATGATTTTACATCCCATGGTTTAGTCCAGTGTTATGACGTGCGCAGTGATACCATGACCATTGGTGTTTTGGAAGATTTGCCAGTCCCATTATATGGACACCATACTGTAACAATATCAAAGCATTGATGGATGCGGAAGTTGCATTTTGTGCGCATTTTGCTGCATCTTTTTAGTAATAATGATTTTGTAAGAGGTCAATAAAATCAATATTAGTGTGATGGACAGTGGAATACCAGTGCTAATGTAGCCAGTACCATGAAAAATGTGGTCAGTACCATCTGTTGTCTGCACCAAGGACAGTGTAGCCCCTCCAATGGATGGTGTAGTCAGTACCAAGGACAGTGTAGCCCCTCCCATGGATGGTGTAGTCAGTACCAAGGACAGTGTAGCCCCTCCCATGGATGGTGTAGTCAGTACCAAGGACAGTGTAGCCACTACCATGGATGGTGTAGTCAGTACCAAGGACAGTGTAGCCCCTCCCATGGATGGTGTAGTCAATACCAAGGACAGTGTAGCCACTACCATGGATGGTGAAGTCAGTACCAAGGACAGTGTAGCCACTACCATGAACAGCGTAGTCGGTACCAAGGAAAATGTAGCCTCTACCATGTGTAACCAGTACCATGGACAATTCAGTCAGTACCAAAGACAACACAGCTAGTACCATAGACCATGTAGTCAGTATTATTGTAGTCAATGTGCCAATGGCAATGTGGTTTTACAAGCTTAATATAATAGAAATAACAGTATCAATACATGTACTATGCAATTGTATTTTACCTCTATGTGAAAAGATAGATGTGGAATATTTTGTTCTCTATTGCAGGTTTTAAATCCCCACTCCCACCCCGACAAATTCAATCCACTACACACAGATGTCGATAACATGTTTTCTTTCTTAAATCATTACTGTAACACTTTATTCAGTCTTTCTATTTTTAAAGATTCAAACAGTTGTAAATTATTGAAACAGGTTATTAACAATGATCTATTGATTAATGTATTCTGATGTAAGTAAAAAAAATGCAAATGCTAATATTAAAATACATATAATAACATCCGTCATTCACACCTATATACAATCATTAACTGAAATATGCAAGACACGTATAGCAATGTGCCCACAAGCAAATGATATCCAAGAAAATGTAAGGATCTTGCTAAATCTCATTGTTTTAATTGTTTTAAGCATGCTTTTGGAAAATTTAGTATACTCTTTATCATTACAGAGGGGAAAATAAAAATGAGAGGGAGAATCTTTAGAAATGTGGACTTCTAGAGAGGCGGCCTGAATGTTGCAAAACGTCCTTGAATTAAATGCACATAATGAACCGGATCTTACATCTGCTTGAAGATTAAAGAAGCAAACAGACATGCAATCGGTACCAATCTTCAACAACAATAGTAATGATACGGTAGTGGCCCGATAAATAGATGCCACGGTTCTTGATATATAATTAATACATCAATTGCAGGCAGAATAGTATTGGTAAGAAATAGTATCTCAATTAATGGTCCGCTTTCAGGAATTTAGCCACTCAATATTTCAAATATTGCTACAATTTAATGATTGGGTTTGTTTCTAAAGTATGTTAAACTTACTGTGCCATGTTGTTCCATCAGCTCTTGTGCACACTGGGCCATGGCCTGCCTCTCATTGTCTGGTTTCTTCTGTGTTTTCATCCTAGCTATTTAAAAATGACAGATTTAGTCTTATGTTATGATTTATGATGTATAATCAATAATGATGTGCCTGGTAGGTGTAAGGATGCATATCATAGGCCTAGGAAACCTTACTATTTTAGATTATCTGTATTTTGCATGCCACGAAGTGCCATCTTCTTTCGAAGTTGGCTCTGGGACAGGCGTCTGTTCCTCCTTTGTTGCTGTTCCAACCGGTCCTCGTCCGCAGCATGTTGTTCCATCAGCTCTTGTGCACACTGGGCCATGGCCTGCCTCTCA